AACAACATGTACCAACTCTCATGATGGCTTCCTTTGACCAGTTCTACTGCGCCATTTCCTCTCGTTTGACTCTAACTAGTTGCTTCATCTATCTTAGAACATAGCATGCTAAAGATGGTAGACTTTGTCCAGAAGATCACTGAAAAATTAACCAACTAACTGAAACTTTTCTTCTTTATTATAACCAAGATAGTATGCTCACTACATAGTTATACTAGGTGGTCTATGCTTGGCTATTGAACATTTTCAACGTGGCAATGCGCACTAATCCAGTGTATCAAAGAAAACGGCCCAAAATCGGATTGGCGGCCACACACAGCATCATTCGATACATCCTAGCTAATGGTTTTGCAGCCAAGATGATGCGACACCCATTTGCTTGGTTTCGTGAACTGCAAAACACGGCGGCTAGCTAAGGTTTGTGTTCAATAAGCCAAGGTAGGGTGGTCGAACGAACACCACTCGATGGTCTGGTAAAGAAGCTGGCTACAGCTGGTATTAGTGGTCCACTGTCACTCTGGTTGTCTCAACTTGTAGTGAGATATGATTTTTAAAATGCGGACCTCCGTCCTGTGTGATGTCTGGAAGGTGATCCGTACCAAAATAGCGAGCTCACTTGCAATCATGCGAAATTCCACTCAGAGTCCCGCTTCCTGTGGAAACATATTCTGGCCTGTCGAGAAGTAGGGGATCACAGACCGCACTACCCCAGCGACACCTAAAGCTTCAGAAAACAAGCAAACTATGCAGTTCACAAGACCAGGGGGAGTTGTAGACTCGTAGCGAAATCCAGCAGTCGAGAACACAACGTGATGCAGACTCCTCGCACGTCTATAACTTTTTCAGCCAATAGCGTTTTAAAGTTGCTCCTTACGGAAATCACGTTTCGTGGATCTCTCAATATGGTTCTTAACGCTAGCAAATTGTATCAAAGGGCTCAAATGCACCTGAAAAATAGGTACTGATCGTTGAGTGACGAATCCCAAATCAGCCGACATTGTCACAGATGGGAACACAGAATGGCATGCTATTACCAAAGCAGACATCAGTCATTCAATGAACAGTGGCATTTAGGGGCGCTCGAGTCCGTTGGAGGAAATTCGATAGTATGAAGGAGTATCTTGAGAGATCAATGGAGGAACATAATTTCCTTAAGGAGGAAGTTGGGAGCGCTACGGATGCAACTGACTCGGAAAAGGTATAGATGACCTAACAGCTTCAACATAGAACAGTCGGGCTCATTTGCGAAGTTCAGTCGTGGTGCTGTTCTGATTCTCTGCGCCCCTAATTCCACAGCGTAAAGGTGGTGCTCAATTTGTGCATTACGTGTCCTTTGTTTACAGTGAGCCATAATTTCTTCGATTTCATCACACCTGATCGGTTCCCTTAATACTACTCATTAGTTGTACGCCCCACATTGAACTGAATGATTCAGACACCAAGCTCTGCGTAGCGCGTATCCAACAAACCAATGAGTACCGCTGTCTGAAGAATTGCAAGAGAAAGGCAAAGCACAAAATTAAGATTGATCGATGTGAATGGAATGCGTGAATACGGTTGGCCCTATCGGCCATGGCTAAAACAGTAAAAATACAGAATAATAACAGTAGGACCTAATGACATTTGAATATAACGGAATAAAGGGCACGGTCGCTAAAAGAATCGAGTAAGAGAATAAGAGCAGAAGCGACGTTGACTGTGTCTTATCGGACAAGGCAGCCAACCACGGAGGCCTCATTCAGGTAGCAACACTACTCAAGCTTTCGGTGTTTTTCGATGCCCATTTGCCACGTTATTGATTCACCCCCACGAGGCTCTACTTAATTAGTGGCAGTATCAACAAATAATAAAAGCCAAGATAGTCCGCTTGAAGGAATGCAGAGCACATAGTTAATCCAGTGTAAGTGTTTCGAGTTCAGAAAGCATTCCGACGTGGCACCAGAGGGTTGACTCCCAAATATCACATAATGAACGTCAGTACTGCTTGCCTGATGCTCCTGTTACATAAGGAGAATACTTCGCATGTACAGGTACTCAAACATGGTTAGTGTCATTTAAAGGAGCGTGCCCAAAGCAGCCTTCGAAGTCGGACAATTCGCTAGCAGGCCGGAGCAGTTTGACTCTGATACATCCTGAAGTTTATTGGCCAACCAATAAGAGCGAGCCTATTAGGACTTTTCACCTTGAAGGCTATTAATGAGGATGATCTACCTTGAAGGCCGCCAGTAAGTGCATTATTTTGGGCAACCAACAAATACATCTAGTAGTTGCCGAAATCCAGAAACTTCCAGCTAAGTCATTCTCCTATAAACTATGTATTTGACAGAATTTTTAGCTTGTAGATACAGCTTGTTGGGTGCCTAATAGAAGTTTTGTCAGAAGATTTACATTTTGATCTGGGAAGTCGGCCGATCCATCTTGCGCAGCAGTAGCGTTAACTGTACGGTCTGCGGAAAGCACAACAGTATCCTACTGTCGTCGATAGACACAGCTGATCGGAATAGGTGACGTTAAGTCAAAGGACCAAATGGTCAATCGACTAAGTCTCCAATAGCAAATATTTAAGTTATTGAAAGTTTTCCCAGAAGTTGTGCTTCGCACAATCTGAAACAACATTCGGCCTTTCCCAGGAACAACAACGTCCTTCAAAATACTGCAGTTGCCACTAAAGTGTGCTCATGATACTTCCAGAGAAACAGGCACGGATACCGAGCTAGGACGATACATCCTCATACATCATCCAACACCACAGCTAGAGGAGTGGACCATCTTAACCATTGTGTTGCAAAATAAACCAACTAGCTGGTAATAGGAAAGAGAAAGTAAAAACGTTGACAGTGAGATCGCGATTGGTGGGGGAGGCTAATCGAGGGAGACGTGGACGAAGGAACTCACAACACAAGTGTCATTGAGGTCGGCTCTTCGCCATATAAGCAAGTGTATTCAAACAAACGTGTTCATCGTCCATCGGACTCCAGCCTGGCAGTCGGAATGCACCAACCGACGCCAACTTCGAAGTCAGATCCTTCATTCCTGTTGAACACATCATCGGTTGGTTCACCCACTTCCCATCTATATCCAGGGCGCGCACATAACGCACGTCGTGTCAGCCATTTGTTGACATGCGTAATTCATGGCTCAGCCATCGCAGCCTGATTGGGTGAACTAATGGTGCTGGGGATCCAGGGCAGTATGGCTAAATTGAGACTAGCTACTTAGGTGAATCACTTATCTAGTTTAAAGCAGGTCAGTCTAAAGCGCATAATCTTTTGGACACTATCCGTGGAACGTGAGGATTAATAGTCCTGGTGGTATACCAGAGAGGAAAAGGTTCGGATTCGGGGAGAGGGACGGAGTGGTATAAGATGCAAACGTGGTAATGTAAAGGCCAGTGACTGCGATAGTAACGAGAACAACGACTTATCTCCAACTAGGACATACGGTTCTAGTGGCCGAGATGCCCGTTGATTCAATTCAAACAAAGAATGAAGGTCATAATCCATTCGATGCTTATGATTTGATAAGAATGCTTCGGACTAGACTCAACCACATCCCTACTCTAACACTGGAAAAGACCGCCTTCATGCAGAAGGGAGTTGCGGGTGAGTTCAAAGATCAAGTACGTAGTTTACAACTTATGGCTTAAATTGAAGCTCACTGTAGCGATCAAGTGGCGCAACAAAAGCTCAAGCTAAATCAAGCCAAGTCAAGTTAAGATTTATCCACCCGTAAGAGCGCATTTTCTGCATTTTCACATCAACATTGCGAAATATAGTACAACAAAGTATCAATGAGAAATAACAATGGACGGCAGTGAAAGAAAAGCTGCAACCGCAGTTAAACATACGGTCACGAAAACGAGGTTGCATTCCTGTTGGGTCGGCTAGTAAGCGTGATAGAAAAAGCAGGGTAGAGTTTCGATACGACGAGGTACGAGAATATAAAACTTTAATTTTAACCGTGTGGACGAAGTAGATATAGTGTTGGCTAGGACAGCGTGTAAAGAGTGAGAGGGGTTATTTAAAATCTTCGATGAGAAATTGATGCATGCATCAAAATGTTTGTTAACAACAATGTCAATGAGCGTCTTTCCTTAAACCAGATCAGCGATAAATTTTAACCAAGGTACAAGAAGGACAATCTTTTTGAAGCAACCCTGTGAAAATAACCGGGGAAAAGTATAACCAATGAGGGCGAATACATGCAGTTATAAACCTTAGAATCAAAGCGTGAGGAACGGAAAGTATTTTACGTCTGATGGCGTCAAAAGAGAGCCTGCCAAAATTTTTAAATGTTTCAAGAAGATGCGCAGACAAAGATAAATTGAGCTAGGAAAACTCTGAGATATTTTGGGGTAGAGGAACAAGGTACGCTAATTTCATTCACAATCATGGGAGGGGAGATAGGTACAAGGGGCTGCAGTCTTTGGTGATGTTAAAAAATAGAGATTACGTCACAACACTTAGGAGGGTTGAGGGAAAGGGACCGGGAATTAGAGTGTTGTATGCAAAATAGCTGTTGTATCATCCAGGCCTACTAAAGTTCAGCTTGGTGGCGGCTCACGGGACCCAAGCACGGCTAAAAATGGCCTTGGAAGTACACCGAGAAACACTCCTTAAGTGATTTTCTGGATGTGTGAAGATTATCCGATCAGTTCTGGCCCTGTGAAATTGTAGATATGTTTCCGTTATCGACACTTCGCAGAATAAGTCTGGATCACAAGCCGCACGCTCGCTACACAGGGGAACAGTGAAACGAAGCAATATCAAACAAAATGAGAATCAGTGGGTTAAACCGGCTCTGTACTGAAGCGACGTGATAAGGAGACCACGATACATTGCAGACCAGCTGCATCGCATACGAATGAGAGTCAATGGACCGAAATGCAGCACATTAGTCCGTGGAGATCAACAACTGGAAGAGGGGGGCAAAGGTAGTGGTTGAAACTTTAGGATGAAAATTTGTCGGGACAACAGCAATGGAGAGTTTTCACAACTTACCGTTAGTGGAGAAACAGTGTATGTCATGTTCCGTCTGCACCGATGTCATGTATGCGTTAGGAACTGCCTGCTGTCCAGACATCCATTCATATCTATCGTCAGTGGAGTAAAGTCCAAACCAGAAGTCGGTATGAGGGGCGACCTGAAAAGAGCGTGGAAAGTGAAAACTAAGCGGTAGGTACAAACAAGTGCAAACAGATAAGAGAAGTAAAACCAAATCGATGCCTTGTGTAAGCAATATTTTCATATATTACTAACAATAAGCTCAACATATCACAACGAATAAAGCCGAAATAAGCAAAATCTAGGAGAAAGAAAATGTTTCATTTATTTCACGATAAAGGAAGGTCATAAATGTCGAGTCCGGGTATATAAACCATCAAGCCCAATTTCATGTCGGTGGCCTGAACAGACTTCGACCAACCCAGTGTGAAACGCATTGGTCAGGATCCAGCCAATGGGATCGCTTTTAATCAGTCAGCCAATGACAGCAGTTTGGCTAGGAACCAGCCGACGCAGGCGTTTTACCGGCTGTTGGCAACTTCTGGTAAGACGGAGGCTTCGTCTAAGCTATTTTGCCTGTGAGTAACGTTGTATCTTTCGGACTCAATTGAGAGTTAGGTAAATGACTTTAAATAAATAAATAAATTTGTATATTTACCGACGGACGGTACACGGCCCCACAAGTGGGAGCGATCATTTGTTTTCTAAATTCGGGGGTAATTTGATCCGAGATTCGAAATAGCTGTATCGGCTAGCCATGCTGTCAAATGAAACGTAACAATACGTATGCAGTATATTAACCCAATATGCCTAGGCAGCTTATGGTGCTGTGACTCGAACAGACAAGGCGACATGAATTTAGCTAAAAGTTGGACCGATTGAAATCAAAAGATCCGCAATAGCTTTTTTCTACTTTGAAGTCAATGAGGCGGCTAGCAGCCTTAAGGATCACTAGCCTGTCTTGTAGCCCGATGGTGCGGGTTTGACCCTGCAAAGGGACCGGACAACCCTCGCAGTATCTGTAGCCAACGCGCGACTAATGGTGGTTGCGCGGTAGCGAAGCGTAGGGTACTGCGTATCGAGAAACACGACTATGATGGGCCGCCAATATGTGTCACGGTGCTCCAACAATTGACGCAAAGTGAAGATGTGGTCAGTACATCCCCGACCTCGACAAAACGGGCTCGTTCTTCACGAATCTGGATTTCACGCGCGCTAGTCAGTCTGAGAAGGATGACAGAAGCAAGCAATTTGGAGGCGATGGAGATCAGGCTGATTCCTCTATGGTTGCCACATTCCGATCGTGAGCCTCCTTGGGGAATTTAGACTATAACGGAGTGGCTCCCGTCTATCGGGACAGTTTCCTGCTCCCACAGTTTCACTAGCAACCCGTGTAAATCATCCACAAGAGCAGGGCCCCCGAATTTGTAGAGGGCTGGCGGAAGATCATTTGGTCCCGTGGCTTTATTCAACTTCAACAGTCCGATTTCACGTTCGACTTCTGAGCGAGGGGGCGGATTCCATGGCACAGCCCACGGAGCAGAGCGAGCAATGGCCTGCGAGAAATCTGACAACTGCGACCGACTAAATTGCCTTTCAAAATGCTCAACCCAACGCTCCAAGCGTTTTGACAAATTGTGGATAGGCTGTCTATTATCGTCACGTATAGTTTTACTAACACCAGGTCTCCTGCTGCCCGTTTCCCGTATCAGACGGAATAACTTCAGATGATTATCAAGGACAGCTGCAACTTCCATCTCTGACGCACGATGAGACCACCAAGATCCGCGGTCCCTCTTCAGGATAGCACGGAGTTTTATCCGGACTTCTTTGTGCGTCTCACTGTGTTCGCTTCCAGCCGGAATGTGCCGGTGAGCATCGATAAGTTCCAGAGACTACGAAGAGACTCGATGTCCATGTTGGCTATTAGACTTAACACATGAAAATTTGTCTACTGCTAGTAAGGTCTGATGAACATGCGATCAGTGACCTTACATTGTATTCAGTGAGCGCTTGCTGAACCCGAACGCCAGCGTACTTCGATACGTATTCAGAACACTTGGCTTCGCCAGTTGACTGGTGTCATTGCGCTCATAGCGTGGTCGTGGACGTACCTGCAGAACAGCACATAGCAGTTCACGGTCAGCGTCCATATATGTGCTCCAAATCGAGTGACAGTTCTGGAAGCAGCCTCTCAAGCAGAAAGTGATCGCAATGGGATCGATCTGCGTCCAAGGCTGGAGGGCGCTATGTCACCCTCCGGCAGGTGCTGTGTCGGAAGTTCGTGCTCGCAAGAAATAAACAGACATCTTTACACAACTGTATTAACCGCTCACCGTTATCATTACGGGAAGCAACATCGTGTTGGCCGCCCAAACACAGTGCATCAGTGGACAATTTTCCAAATTGAGCGTTCAGATCCCCAGCCAGCACTATAGTGTCTGTTTTTTTCTGTCGTCGGCATACTCAAGGTTTATCAGTCGATCAACTAAGAGAAATTCCACTCCGATAGGATTTGAAAGAACCGAGCCATACATGATCATTTCCATCACAAGTTGAAAATAAAGAGATATTTGACAACTTTGGCGAATTGACACAGGATCCTGATCTGACACTGAAGGCCCTCGTAAGCGAATGCAAACGGATGCTCACTCTAAAACACGATACTGCTTTGGTCGGACGGAATGGTCTCGCACCACCAGATACCGTACACTTCGTGAAAAAGGCCGGGACTGTCAACCCAAGCAAACATTTCAAGAGGTCTACGAACAAACCGCCCACAGCATGCTGATCATGCGGCGAATGGTATTTCGAGCGCTTTTGTCCGTTCAAACGTCATATTTGTCAACCGTGACAGAAGCGTGGGGATAAAAAGAAACTTTGCAACCAGGTCCGGCCGAAGAACTGAAGTCTTATCGAAAGAGGAATTCAAGGAAGGATGGCGCAGAGTCTCTGTCCATAGTTGTCGCATTCCAAAGTCAATGTAAAGCGGGACGGTGATTAATCAGCGTGTTGATCAACGGGATCCCAACGAAACTGCAATTTGAGACGGCCTCGGACATCACGATTATTTCCAAGAACACATAGAATCACATAGAGAAGTCAAAGATGGTTGAGTCGCAGAAAGTTGCACATAATGCATCCGGTGGTGTGCTAAACTTAGTAGGCGAACTTATTCGCAAGATTGCTTTCAAAAGTGTGGAAAAGTCGGGAACATGCCACATTTCAGATCAACCGAATTTGAATCTTCTTGGTCTCAACTGGATTGAAAAGTTGCAACTCCTCGATGATCCTTTGAATCAGATCTGCAACCGAGTTCGACCAAGTCCAGACCCATCATCAAAGTCCGTCGAAGACATGACAGGTACCCTGAAGCGAAAATTTGCCTCTGTCTTTCAGGATTGCTTAGGCCATTGTACGAAAATCAAGCCAACCTTGCGACCAGATGCTAAACCAGTGATCAAGGCTAAAAGACCAGTACCATATGCAGCCGTGTCAACTGTTGATCAAGAACTCGATCGACTGGAACGAGTCGTAGTCATCACAGACGTCAACTACTCATCATGAGCCGCACCTGTTGTCGCAGTGAAGAAGGCAAGTAGTAAGATGCAAGTCTGCGCTGACTTTTCAACTGGCCTCAACACTGCGCTGGACGACCTCCAGTACCCACAACCCGTTCCGGAAAATATCTTAGCAAACCTGAATGGCAGTAAGTGCTTTGCTTAGCTTGATCTGTCTGATGCCTACCTTCAAGTGGACGTTGACGAAGTCTCGAGGGAGTTGTTGACGATCAACACTCATCGTGGGTTATTCCGATACAACCGCTTGCCCACTGGTGTAAAAACGGCGCCAGATATTTGCCCACAGTTAATGGATACCATGCTATCGGGCGTTTCTGGAGCGATGCATATCTGGATGATATCATACTGATGGGTCGAACACCGGAAGAGCTATTTAATCGCCCGGATGAAGTGCTTGGTTGTATACAGTCGTACGGTTTCCGGATCCGTGAGGAGAAATGCACATTTTCACGCAGGTCATCAAATGCCTCGGGGTTTTAGCATTGAAAAGAATGGACGTCGACCAGATCCGGAAGGCATTAGAAAAATGCCTCCACCAACAGATCTACAGTCCTTGCGTTCCTTTTGTGGGCTCATCAGCCACTATAGCGCATTCCTGCCTGAGATGCACCGCCTGCGTACCCCGCTAAATAAGCTACTAGCTAAAGGCCAAACTTGGAACTGGACATCAGAATGCCAGAACGCCTTCGAACGGGTCAGGACATTACTGTCCTCAATCATCATCATCATCATCAGTACACGTTAGCTGGAGGTGGAAAACACCTCAGCTATTGTGCCGCAATACAAAAGACAAGAAAAGAAAACCAAGCAGTGGCACGCCCGCTGAGTCCCCAGTAACGGATGGACATCGTTCCGGAGAGCTAACAGCTGGCCGCCGTAAAAGAGAGTCATATTATGCCTAACAAGTGAGATCGTGATTGGAGGGGGATGCTAAGCAGGAGGGGGATGGACAAAGGAACTCACAACACAAACGCCATTGGGGCCGGCTCCTAGCCATATCAGCAAGTGTGTCCAACCAAACGTGTCTACCATCCTTAGGACCCCAGACAGGCAGCCAGGATGCACCAATCGACGCCAACTTCGAAGTGATGGTTTTCATTTATCTCGACCAAGTCATCACTTGGCCTCCCCTCCTCCTCTTCCAACGGCATCCACAACGCGCAAACAATGCACGTCGCGGGAGTCGGTGTGCTGGCATGCGCAACACGTGGCTCAGCCATCGGAGCCTGGTGTGTGATATAATGGTGCTGAGCGGTTCACTCGCTCTTCTTGCACCAAATACCCGACCTCGAACACGCTCATTGCTCACGCGGTGCTCCCACCAGATATGAGCTAAACTGTGAAAGCAGCGATGATCGAATGTGACGAGCCTCTTTATGTCTGCCGATCTGATGGGCCAGGTTTCACAACTATATAGGACAGCTGAACGGACGGCTGCGTTGTAAACTCTGCCTTTCAGGGCGAGATTAATGTCGCGCCTGCGCCACAGGTGGCGGAGATTGACAAAAGCACCTCGAGCTTTTGCTATACGGTTCGTAACCTCATCTTCAATCCCACG